GGAGAGACATCTGAAAAAATTGGCGAAATAAAAATTAACATAAATAACTACAAAAAATAACAAAATTAATTTTTCTTCATTTTGTCAAATTATCTTTATTTCAATACGCGTCGTACACAAACATGATGGAAAAATATCTTCTTTATCTATAAATTATTTTTAAAATCGCTTTTCTCTGCCAATATTGCGATCGTGATACTGAAAAAAGTGTCAATTTATTGTCAAATCAATCCAGCGCAGATGGCTAAATCGCTAAAGTCGTACGAGTCGCGACGAATTAACTGTTTATCAGACAGCGGTCGACGATAAAATCTACAATGTGCCAGAAATAAAATCATATTTATCGAGTCAATTATATATGCCAATATTTAAAACCGCGCATTTTATACTTGCATGTAACTTGTTGAATGCCACGGCGACAACGCGATCCGATTGGTCGACAGCAATCACCGTGCATCCGTCTTTAATGACCTCCCTGAAGACCAACTGCATCTCTTCGGCAGCTCCGGGATCCTCGTACATACCCGTGCCGATCGCGATGCACTCCTGTCGCATGGAATGCTGCTGTACGATCAGAGCATCCTCGATTCTGTCCTTACTGAGCATCCTGAATTCGATAGCGCCTGAGCGATCAGTACCGAGGCAGACCGGCATGATACGTTACACGTTGCAGAGATTCGCCTAGAAGAAACACTACGGCTTCACTATAACTAATCGATACACGCGCAAGTTTATCACACTTGTCTTGCGCATCCCGTTCTATTTTTTTTAATTAAGCGCCGTATCCAATTCAAGAAAGCAAGAGAGGGAGATCCTTATTGTTTCCTGGTGTTTTTTATCCTGATTCTGATTGAATCGGAACGAAAGTTCGTAGTCCTATTCGTGTTTATTTGTGTCATATCTACATGTTTTTAAAAATATTGATAAATATATTATTTGATAGAGCAAAGTTTTAGCTTTAAGAATGTATTTTTTAAATTGCGATACGATAATTTTTAACAAAGTTATAAGCAATCAAAATCAAAATGCTCCTTTTATTTAATCCGCGATATAATATAGTAACAAAAAATCTTAAAAGGAATATACATATTTTTAACAAACGATTTTATAGGGAAAACTTTCGGTTTAAGTTTTACGTTAAAAAATTGAAAATTTGTGCAAGTTTAAAAGTAAATGTTTAAAAATATCAGGCAAATGAGAGTAACTCCGTATTAATCCAATATTTTTAAACATTTACACTTTTAAATCTTGAGAGTCTAAATATATTCTTTTTTTTTTTTTGAGTTTTTTTGGGCACGAGACAGGTCCATAAAGTGAGATGAAAATTTCTCGTTTTTCAGTTCATTTTTTTCTTTGTGTAAAAATGATCAAACTCACATTATCAAAAACTCAAATGGCCTAGTAACCTTTCGAAAGTAGATTTTAAGCTTTAAAACCGTTTTTTTAAATTTTAATTTTGTTCAATTTTAATGAAGTTATCGCTGCTTAAATTTTGAAATTTGTAGCTTTGAACTTTTGTTCCAATTCATACGTTAGTAATGTAAAGTATAAATTTTAAAATTAATGCTTTATATTAACTGTCGCAACAAACTTGCGATCGACTTGTGGCTACTGTAATCATGATTAAGAAAGAGGCGAATTCTTAAATCTTAAATATTTTATCAAGCGAGACTCGAAGTATAAATTATTGCAAAAACTTGAATAGAACGAAGTCTTATATCCAAAATATTTTAAATACTAATTACAAGCAACCCAAATTAGAAGTTACAAGAATAATATTCGAAAAAATTATAGAAAAATATCTGCGAATTCAGTATTTCACTGTTCTATTCACATTTTCGATTTCAACTATTTCACGATAGATGATACAAACACTCGCGTTCTTTGTATCTGATACAAATTTTTTTATATTAATTCTGGAGCTACGGAGAAAAATGTCATCGAAGGCTGAAACAAGAAGAAACGGCAAATAGGAAAAAACTTCACTTTGAAGCACAACGAAAGCGATCTTACCGAGTCGAAATTCACGAACGGTGTCTGCTGTTGACGGGACGCTGAGATATCACCAGGAGATAAAAATTATATCGCGAATAGCCTAATTGTATACATCCCGTTTAATTACAGACACTATACTCGTACCCACGCAACACGATTAATAATCAACAATCTCACGTAAGCCGGACTATCTATCTAAGCCGCTGGAAAGCGCTTCCTTATTATCATTATCTTACTTATTATCATTTTATTACAGTGGATACATAGGAAAATTTCGCGTCTTGTCGATAGGTCTCTTTCTGCGAAGGTGAGATATGAGGTTCTGATTATACGAGATTTAATTTATTAAACTTCTGTGAAATAGATTTGATTTTTAGTCTCTTAATAACTGCTTACAATATACTATCTAGCTGTGATGTCTAATTGTGTGTGTCTAGCTGTGCATAAATGGCTGTGACAATTTTGCAATATTTGCGCAATTTATTTTCGTGAGTGCTTGAAGCTTGCTTTAGATCTATAATATAAATATCGGGATAAAATTTTATCTGTAATTTTATCTATAATTTTATATGCTATGCATTTTTATCTACATACGATTTTAACAAGAAAGTAAAAGTACCGAGCATTTATTATTGATCGTATCTACTTTTTTAGATTAATATTACATATATTTTTTTACATAAAGGATAAAAATCTAAAATTTGTTGACTTATTAATGATTATGTCATTTATATTGATAAAATATTTAATTTTTTATCTCTTTTATTTTTATATTATAGTAATTTATTTGCATGATTCTTTTAGTGAGTAACATCAATTCTTAGTATTAATATACATCTTATATAGTTACATTCTGACTCTTCTAATTTTTTTTCTATCACATAAAATAGGATACAGATTTCTGTCTTGAAGTAACATAAATTATCTAAGTGGAACTTTAAATGGAAGTTTCGATGATACAATTATGACACAATTATGTGATAATTTATAAATATATCATAACATTAATTTATTAAATACAATTAACTGGTTAGTTTAATAACTTTAATTGTTTACGAAATAAATATAAAGAAATACAATAGCAAACATTTCGATGCCAATTGGGTTATTCTCAATGTTAAGACGCATTCAAAAAATTATAATATTACATAAGAGTTATTGGATTCTCAGATCAAAATTACAATTTTACATGAATTATCTAATAAAATTATAATAACTTGTTATCGTTATTCGTTATTGATTTACAAAAGTAACTTGTTACTGTTACCGTCACTTAAAATGTAACGAGTACTTTTTTCTTGACATTAATAGGATATTTTATGCATATAATAGCATTTTTCATTGGCAAAACTTTTTTTATTGTTAATACATATTAAAGCCGTTGTACCCTATTCTAATCTAAATGTAAAAATAAGATATCTGAGATAATATAATGTCTAAAATACATTTTATTAAATAGCATAATAAAATGTATTGAGAATCTCGCGGTTTAATTTTCGTTTCTATATTTTTTATTAACCATACATCTTTATGTCGATTGTACAGCAGCTTTAAAGTGCGAATAAAAAACGCTATTATATACAGATTCTTGTAGTAACTACAAAAAAGATGTTAAAATTTTGTTTTTTAGTAGAGAAATAAAACTCAAAAACTAATAAATATGTATATACATATATATGTATACATATATGTATTATATATACGCTCTAATTACAATTAAAACTTTTACCTAAAAAGACATACATAAAATTACATAAAATAACGATAATAAAATCGTTACCATTATCCCAAAAATGGTATTGCATTACTATGAACGTTATTCAGAAGAAAATGTAACATCGTTATTCAAGCGTTACCAGAAAGTAACTCATAACAGTATAAATAACGCGTTATTTGCCAATCCTGGTTTAATTGCTATTTGATTAGAGAAAGGGAGAAAACAGAAGTACTACTATAGAATTATTGGGAAAATTATTTTAACATTTATATGCAAATTCGAAGTATTAATTTATTTATATTTATATTCAAATATTTGAGTCAGATCTTTGATTACATAAATAAAAATGAAATTTTACATATATATATATATA